AAAAAAAAAAAAAAAAAAAAGCCAGTGCTCAGAGAAGGGGGCCCACTTTGGGGAAAAGGAGGAGCAGCCATACGCTGGGAGCCAGGATTCCCCGGGAAGCGACCTTTCTGGCCGCTCACTGTGGCCTACCCCAGGCCAGCCCTTTCCTGCCCGCTCGGGAGCTTCCGAGGGAAATGCGCGGCGACCCCCGGGCCCAGAGACCGAGGCTCTGCAGGGGGGCTCTGTGGTCTCAAAACTGGACCCCACCCCAGACTCAGGCCCAGCTCAGCGAGGGGAGCTGGCCCACGGCCCCGAGGCTGAGAGGAAGGAGGCGGGTGCGGCGAGGAGCCCCTACCCCCGGCCCCGGGCTGCCACCCTAACTGCTCACCTTGCGGCGCCCTCCATTGCCAAGCCTCCCCTCCTTGGCAGCTGGGACCAAAGGTTCTCAAACTTGAGCGCGCACCCGCCTCACGTGGGGGCGGGGGGCTCGTTAAAACCTCGGTCACCTGGCCTCAACCGCCAGCGCTCCCGCTTCGGTAGGGCCGGACTTTCTCGGCTAACTTCAGAATCCACTGGGGGTGCTTTGAAAACTATTGATCTCCATACAACCCAAACCGATTAAGTCAGAATCCCTGGGGCAGGGCGGGAGTCCTTTTTAAAGGACCTCATTCTAAGATTTCCTCTGCTTATTTGTTTATCTTTTGTAATCTTTCAGAAAGAGGGTTTGTTTACCAACTGTAGGCCCCTAAAGGCCAGGGGTGTATTTATTTTATATTTAGTCTTATGTAGTTACTAGCAGCCCCACACCCCGGCTCTGGCCTGAGCACCTGACTCAGAGGACAGTTCAGGTCACTTTTGCTCCCAGGCTGGCGTGGACGGTTCACGGAGAGGCGCGACAAGGCCCACCAGCCCCCCGGGAAGCGTGGGAAGCCCGCAGGGGCAGGGGTGGGGCAAGGTAGGAGAGAGGGCCGCAGGGGAAGGTATGGGGAAGACGGCTGTTGATCAGCCCCTGATTTTCCACAGCTGATTTTCCACTTTAGGGATTATTGTTTTAATCCCTAGGAGGCTTCTCCTGTCACTCAGCAGAGAGCACTCCGTGTCCCTGTATCATGCAGCTGGCTGTGGACTGGGAGAAATAAAATCTCACACACACAATTAAGAACACCATGTTGCTTTATTTTTAAAAGTATATGACAGAGCCAAACATAAACATACTTTAAGCCAGTGGCTTTCATGCTTTTTATTGTATTTTTTCACAACAAATCTTTGTGGAATACTAATATGTAAGACATAAAGGGTATGTATATATACATATGTATTTTTATCAGGCCATTTAATTGTTTTGAGGAAATGTCTCCTTGTCTAAAGTACTTCTGAAACACTTTTGGGTGGGTGGCCTTAGCATTTCGCAGACCACATGAATTCAAGTTTTTCTGGTGTTTTAGACCAACGATTTTCAATCAGTGTGCCACAAGAATTTTTAAAACATACAATAAATACCTGACTATTTAGTCAGGGGCACTGACCTCTTTCCCCTTAGATTGTCAAATTTAAAAAAATTACAACAGCCAACACAATAGCCATCCAGTGTGAATGAATCAAAATTATACCTGTATTTTTTGGTCAGATTGGCAAAAAATATATTTTTTGGTGTGCCTCAGAATTTTAGTAATTAGTTTATATGTGCCATGAGATGAAAAAGGTTGAGAAAACTGTTTTAGATTGTCCACACCAGCCCTTCATATGAATGAGTAATTCAGAGCTGACTCTGCTCTCCCTAAAGGCATGGGAATAACTTTTACTTTTAGGTGGCCACGGCTTCTGTCCTTTGCATTCTAAGGGAAAACTGCTGTCTTAGCTCAGGCTGCTATAACGAACACCATAGACTGGGGGGCTTAAACAGCAGACATTTATTTCCCACAGTTCTGAAGGCTGAAAAGCCCAAGATCAAGGGGCCATGAAATTTGATTCTTGGTGAGGACCCCCTTCCTGGCTTGTCGATGGCGATATCTCACTTTGTCCCCACATGGCCTTTCCTCTCTGTGCACATGTGGGTGGAGAGAGAGGGAGGGCACTTGTAAAGGGCACTAATCTCATTATGTGAGCCTCACCCTCATGACCTCATCAAAACCAAATTACCTCCCAAAGTCCCCACCTCCTAATACCATCACATTGGGGGATAGGACTTCAAAGTGAATTTTGGGGAGACACAAACATTCAATCCATGATAACTGCTATTTGTTTTTCATGCTTTCCTTCCCACTATTGAAAAGTAGCAAAGAGGTGTGGCATTTAGTATTGCATGATCCATACTCCTCTTCCTATGCTATTGTTGCAAAACAGACAGGAGTTAAGATTATATGGATTATTAGTAAGATTTCTTTAGGAGCCCTTTCTAGCGGGTGAGAGGGCCTCGGGTCATTCATTTCTGCTGGCTGAGAGAAAGTGAGGCTCTCTGAGCTTTGATAAGAACAGCAGAGATCATACCAGAGGCTGGAGTTAGTGTGGCGTGTTGCAGGGTGCTGGGCAGCCCAACTAAACTCTGTGGATGAAGAGAGAATGAGGACTGGGCCTCCAGAAGAAAACCAAAGCCCTGGTTCCATTAGCTTTTGCTGGGATAATCTTATGTAACAAACAACCCCAACACTCAGTGACTTACAACAGCAAATAGGTCTGGATTGGCTGGAGTCAGGTCTGCTTCACAGGTTTTTCTCATTCTGGGACCCAGACTGAAGGAAAAGACTTGACTAGGGACAGGTGGTTCTCCAAGGGGGCAGCAACTCAAAAGAAGTGAGTGGAGACACAGGATGCCTCTTAGAAGCTCTGTTTAGGACTAGCACACGCTCACTTTGACTCACAATCTGTTGGGGAAAGCAAGTCATAAGGCCAAGCCTAAAGTCAGTGGGACAGGGAGGACAGGGAAGGAAGGGAGAATTCTGGACAAGTAATACAACCCTAACCTACCACCAGAGGAAAGGGTGCTGGGTATACAAAACAACTCAGCCCAGGTCCTTTATACATTAACATTCCACAATATATAACAGAATGGGACGCTGTGAAAGGTCAAAAAATAAATACGGATGGATGAGGAAGCATGCTTAGATAGGGCTGGAGAAAAAAAATGAGTTTTAAATATTCTAGAACATAGCAGAATAAGTAATATATGAAACTTATGAATTGATGGCATTAAGTTTATTAATTGATGAGTTTTGGTAGAAATTCAAGTGTTTTGCCATCATGACTTTGAGGACTGCCTCAATATTGAGGGAATATGGGTAGGCGCTGGAGAGCTAAAGCCTGATGGGAACATAGCCCACGCTAGTGGAAAGTATGGATTTGGAAGCAGGAACTTTGGGATCCAGTCCCACACTGGTTTGTTCTAGATAAGTGACCTTGACTAAGTCACCTCCCCTCCATAAGCCCGAGTGATCAGTTTTTGCTGATTTTTACAGAGAATGCCAATTTTACATTAAAACAATATGTTATGGACTAGGATTCAAAAACTTTCATGACCTTCTTTTGAAAGAGTATTTAAAAGAAATTTATAGACTTGCAGGCAGACCCTGTGGGAGCCTGCACTCTCCCTTTTGTGTTGTTAGAGGTCTTTCAGTGGGCACATTTGAAAAGCATTAATTTGGACCATTTTTTGCCCTCAGGCCATCCAGAGGCCAGGGTTGACAAGCTACAGCCCACAGGGCCGGCCACCTGTTTCTGTATGACTTTCAAGTGAAGAAGCATTGATTTTTCCTTTTTTTTAAAAATGTTTAATTGTGCATAAAATTTACCATCTTAGTCTTTTTAAGTATACTATACAATAGCATGTTAAATATATTCACATTATTTTTGTGCAACCGATCTATACAACTTTTTCATCTTGCAAAACTGAAATTCTATACCCCTTAAACACAATCCCCCATTCACCCTTACCCTAGCCCTGGCAAACACTATTCTACTTTTTGTTTTTGTGAATTTGACTACTTTAGATATCTCATATAAATGGAACCGTACAGTATTTATCTTTTTGGCTTATTTCACTTAGCACAATGTCCTCAAGGTCTATCCATGTTGCATCATGTTACGGATTTCCTTCCTTTTCAGGGCTGAATAATGTTCCATTGTATGTATGTACCACACTTTTTTTAACTGCTCATCTGTTGATGGACATCTGGGTTGCTTCCACCTCTTGGTTATTGTGAGCAATAGGAATTTACATTTTTAAATGGTTGAAAACAAATCAAAGGAAAAATATTTTGTAACATGTAAAAAGCATATGAAATTCAAATTTGTGTTCATAAATAAAGCTTTATAGGAACACAGCCACACTCAGTCACTTATGCATTACCTAACGCTGCTTTTGCACTATGAGGGCATGGTTGAATAGTAATGGCAGAGATCGTATGGTCTATAAAGCTAAAAATATTTACTCTTTGGCTCTTTACAGAACAAGGATGTCAGCCTTGGCATAGACTATCAGAGACAAGTGAGATTCTGACCTGTTTTTTAGCTTAATTTAAACTGCATTCTCTTTCTTATTCCAGAGAAA